AAAAGATATAAGAAGTTTAAGAAATATGACAAATATAAGACAAATTCTAGTATTAATATGACTGCCACTAACAAATACTTAGTAAATACTTAACAATACTAACAAATGCTTATAGAATAGTATTATAAATACTATTCTATAAGCACTATTAATGTGAAATATTACTGAATTTGAAATATAAGTAACAAAAATAACTAGTAAATAAGTAATAAATATTATATTATATTCGTTATATTTTTGAAATAGTGCTGCAATATTGCTAAAGTAATATTGCAAATTAATATCACTGCATACATGTCTCTGCAACATTGCACTGCAATATGCAATCTTGCAATGTTGTAGCAATGTTGCTGCAAGTTTCTGTGCTGTATGAGAACTATTACGAATATCGCAAAACAATATAGGACTTTTATATTTATTTTAACCAGTTCTACGTTTTCACGAGAGCTTCGTAGATTGTTCTGAGACACCCTGTATAGGAATCATGGCATCAATCATGAATCTTTTCACATGTACCTGATTTCACTTATCAATCATGTAATTTTTTTCTTTAGTATGAAATCATGACAAATGAATGATCTTATATCTGAGAACAATACTTGAGAACAATTATGAATCTTTTCTTTCAATTAAACTCGTAAAAAGTAAACATCTAAACATTTCAAGATTAAATTTGTCACTTTTTACGCACACACGGGATCATATTAGGAGAAAAGATTCGTAATTGATTCTCTGAAAGGACCGATTGTTTCAACTTCTTGGTAAGTTATCTAACAGTTAAATCATGTGTCTGTCTTCGTTTTTTCTTCAAATAAAACAAAGCAGACAGATAATTTAACTGTCTGATAGCTTACTAAAGGCTCGTCTACAATGTTTGTAAGAATATGGCTGTAAGGCTACGTGAGCTGTCAGCGAATGAAAATAATTTATTTCGCGTCTTACAACCTTACAGCCATATTCTTACAGACATTGTAGACGAGCTTAAAGAGGTTGGAGCAATCGGTTTTAACTACATTCCGCCCCTTTGTTGTCAGCCTCTCGCTCACTAGGGACATTTCTCGCGACTGCACGCGCGCCGCCAACTGGACGGCGTGATTATCCGCGGGAGGCGAATTAATTCGAGCGGCGATCGATCACGCCCGTTCACGATGAGAGACAGAACGGCTGACACCGCGGCGAAGAGAAATGCTGGGCAACCTTGGCGAGGATGAAACCTATTTTTGTTTACGACCTCGCCCGCTTGCTTTTTAGGTCACACCGACAGGTAAACATGCCGGATCGATAGCACGACGTAGTGCGCCAGACTCTGCACTTTTTTGCACTCCAAAGGGGAAAACGCTGTCGGCTATCGTGTGAGGCTCCTTTCGGCGCAAGGACGAAGCAAGACACAAGTGCGTGATGCCAGGTGTAGAAAGTGCACCGCGCGGTGAACAGGGGGCAAAAAAAGAACGCCGCGCCTCCAGCACCTTGATATTTATACGCGTCACACGGGAATCTACGACGTTTCATGGAGCTGATTGACTAATATAACGTGAGAACTCGTCGCTCTTGCGCGCAATCGATTCTTTCCCGCGTTATCGAGCCCTGCACGAGCGGCTTTTTCCTACCGGCGACACGCCATCTTCCCCGATTCCGTTACGCTCAGTCGGTTTATCGCGTTAATTAGACGCCATAATTGTAACGTCGATATTTACCTTGAAATTATGAGCGTTAGCGGGCACATGCCGTTCGAATACGCGTCCCACTCGATTTCGCAGGCTGTTTGCTTCTCAGTTCTATATATATATATCTATCTATATGTATATATATATGTATATGTATGTATGTACCTCCTCTATCACCTGTTATATCCTTCACCTCTCTCTCTCTCTTTCCGATACGTGAGGCGCCATATACCCACGTTTCATTGTAGCGACTGTTGCGCAGGAGAGCAGCTGAAAAGAACACACAGGTAATGATATTCGAGTTTCGAGAAATTCGTAGCGGAATATCGCCGCATGCTTTTAATACAGCAGTGTATTACTTGTCTCTCCCTACCATCGTGAGGTCGGTTCAACACGTAAGGCCCCGCGATCGCGAGTCCAGAGAGCGGCGTGACAAGCGCGAAATGATTTTAATTACATCGGCAACGTCCCAGGCGTCGAAAATACACCCAATTCGGGGATCGAGCAGGTCAACGACCCTTGCCACCGCGCTTACAACCGGCTCACGACTATTCGACGCTTGTCTCGCATGTACGACGATTTTTTCCCTTTGCATAATCCGGCACACACATGCGCATCACAAACGACGCGGCACGGCTCATCATTAATATCGACGTGATGCGCGTCCCCTTGGCTCCCCTCGAATATTTATCGATATTACCAAACAAAATCTTCACGCGGGTGCGTAACGGCAGTGGTATCGAACCGCGTCGCGGTGTATGTACTTTCCTTCCTCCTCCGCCTCCCCGCCCCGCCGTCTCTTTCCCCCCTCGCCCGCCCACTCCCGCCGCCATTGTATAGCCGCGCGCGCGTCGCGCCAAATTGCGCCGATCGCGCTCAATTCTTCGCGCGCAGAATTCCCGCCCGCGGGACGATCGGCCCTTCTTCTTCCTCCTCGCCAGGCTCTCGGCCGGCAGGTGAGAAAAGAAAGGGAGAAAGAGATCGAAAGAGGGAGATCCCGACCGGGAGCGATTTACGAGCCGCCGATGTTGCCTCGCACCGGGCGGCGTCGTGGCGGCGACCAAAACAACAATATTTCGATACACCGCGAGAGATCTTTTGGCGGGAACTCAATGGCGCGCACGGGCCGGTCGGTGGTGGAGGTAGAGGTCCTTAGGCCGGCGGCCGCGGTTCGACGAATCGCGACGCAGTGTGTGAATCGTCGTCGGTCAGTCGCGGCACGCTATTCTCCCGGTAAGTTTGTTACGCGTGTGTGTCACGTATGCATGGGTGTGTAGAGTATGTATGTGTGCTTGATCTGTATATACATCGCGTCTTCATGTGTATATGTAGTCATGTGTGCATGTGCGCGCGCGCGCGTGTATATCGCTAACGATTCGACGTGACGACGAGCTGTTCCGTCGTGGCTCGGCCGCTCGTACGAGAAACCCGGCGATTGCGCGATTCCCGAGCGAGGAGCGCGTAGCCGGCCGGTCGCCGAGACACCGACACGAGAGAACGCGCGACCAGAGAAGGTTGGCTACGAGGGTCGGCAACGGGGTGCGAGAGTTGCGTATGAGTGCGCGCGCGCGCGCGTCATTCGCGTGTGCGTGTGTGTACACGACACATAGAGCTGTGTGAAGGCGCGGAGGCGCACAGCGGCGCCTGCTATAATATACGCGGCACGGCGGCGAAGCAAGCGAGAGTGGAGAAGCGTGCCGAGTGCACACAACGAGCGAGCGAGCGAATGAGTGAGTGAGTGAGTGAACGAGCGCGCGCCAACGAACGAGCGAGCGAGCGGCACACCAGTGAGAACGAGTTAAGCTCTCGCAGCATCCCGATAAGACGCGACCGTTAAGCGCGACTCGACGAGACGCGACGCGATACGGCACCGCCGCCACGCTACGAAACGCGCAACCGGCGACGTTGAGGAGCGCGATATCACCCTTTGTCTCAGCGCAACGGGCACAGATCGAGCCGCGCCGCAAGTAAGCCGAGGTGAGCGGAGTGTGAGTAGTCCCAGTGAGTGAGTGAGTGCGTGCGTCGCGAGTACGCGCGTGAATAATACGGTCTCTGGTATAATCGACGGCCGATTAATTTACCAGCGCCTGACTCGTTCGTCTTGACGAACATTTATTTGGGCGGTAAGCGCGCGCGACCGCCGCTTCGAGCGGCCGCGAGCCGCTCGGCCGTTCCGCGGCGGATTTTTCCGCGCGGCCTCCGACGCCGTCGCGCCGTTACTTGCAGAGATATCGCCGGCTCCCGGACGCGCGCCGTGTGCGACACGGCGAGACGACGCCGCGTAGGTACGGCTGCCGCGACGCCATGATTCGCGCCTAGTCTCTCTCTCATGGCGTCCCCGACAGGCGCGAGAGCCGACGACGTCGGCCTCCTCGCTGTTCGGCTCTGCTGTTCCGATCGCCGTCCGTCGCGCCGATTTGCCGCGAAAATTCCACAGGGAAAAATCGCCGGGGCAGCTCTCCGTCGCGGGAAACGACGCCGCCCGGGACGCGGCCCCTCCGCGCTCTGCCTACGCTGGATGGATGCGGCCGTTCGTGAATTTTGAAAATGGCGGGCGCGGAACTTGTGCGGAGGCACTGTCGCGCGAACGCCTCGATCCCGCTGACCGCGGCGTACTTCGCGCCTCTCCCTCGCGAACCCGCGCGGATTGATCCCGGTCGCGACCCGGCCGCGAAAAGCGACGAATAAATTTGTCGATGATGAATTAATTATTCTCCGCGAGCCGCTTCCCAGCACCGCCATATCGCGCGGCCGTGCAACGCCGCCGGTGAATCGCCGTTCACGACGCAAATTACCGTGCACGCGCGTATATCCGCACTGTAAAAACTTGAGACGCGTAATTGACGATACTGATTTTCGCCGCGCGTTTGCGCGTTTCTCCACCCGGCTCCCCTCCGCCCCTCTCTCCTTCTCCAGCGGCGAGCGCGATTCCCGATAATTTGAAACGCGCGAGACAACGGCCCAGCGAGAGGAAAATATCGGAAGATCGATAGTCGCGTTTGCTTCCCGCTCAGATTATCCTCTGTCTCCTGGCTTTTTCCCGCCGCGAAGACTCGAGGATTCTTGTTTATTGTGAGACCCAACCAGTACACGCACACTATACACTCAGCTCGATCTCTTTGTATTAGTATTCTTGTACAGTTGACGCACCTTGGGGACACGTATGTATACTTTGTACTATGTGTATATTTATAGGTATAATACATTTATATTTCTTATCGATATATATGTATATATATATATATGGCACTAAGTTAGAGATTCAGCAAGAATTATCTAGAGAAATTTCTCAATATTTTCATGTGAAACATTGAGTAGGCTCTATTTTCGTGTTAACTGAACACCATACACACACTATACACAAATAAATCAGTAGTTTTCCAGTAGTCGTTTTTCCTCACGGTTCACCTCATTGGAGATGACACTATCTGAAAAGAGATAGGCAATCGTTTAGAGTCTGTCTCTGATATTGCAGAAATATCGAGAGAAAGTAGTATCAGTTTTAAAAATTTCATATATCTAATGATAAGAAGTTCAGTTCCCTGAACTTAAATACAATTGAATGAAGGCTCAACAGAAAAGCAGCACACAGTAATGCTGTGAGCATCTTAGCAAATGGAGTCAGAGAGAATGAAGAATGTTTAAAATTTGAAACAAAGATTATCATTAAACAGTCGAAGTGATTAATCAATTTTCTTCTAGTTGATCCTCTACTGTGTTGTTTTCAATTCCACAGTAAAACAAGACAATAAACATGTCGGATGATAATTCGCCTGTTATGGAGGAGCAAAAGAAGAAGAGGGGTAGGCCTGCTAAAGCAGACAAGAACGCTGTTAAGGAACCCAAAAAGAGGGGAAGGTCCGCTGTGGAAAAGAATAATGCAGTGCGTCCAGCAAAATCCGACAACGAGGATGACGCGCCACCTGGACCTGTTAAAAAGGGAAGGGGTCGACCTAAGGGCTCTCACAAGAAGAAGGTACGTCGCGCTGGAATGCGTAATTAAAATTACACATGCACACATGAAATGGCGTCTCGACATTAGAAATTTAGATATTAGGGAAATATCCTTGGCGTTATATCTGTAACATTGTATCTATGCATGTAACGCCGATTTGTCGCACTGTATTAATCAAGACATGTTAAACTTACAGCAAGGACCACCAAAAGGCACGACTACCGCACCACGCGGTCGCGGTAGACCAAAAAAGACAGAAGAAAAACCCGAGATCACTGGTGAAGATGAAGATGATCAGGATGAGGAGGAGGAAGAAGAGGAGAACTGAATCGTTGGGGGATGCAATAGGGGAGGATGAAACTAACACATCTGACTTATCCTTCGAAGACCCTTCTTCTTAAGAAAAAAAAAAAATATTAAGCCAGTTGATCAAAGTTCGGTTCTGTCTAGTTTGCACTTTTTATTGTAATTCGGGAATTCCCGAACAAAGTTTTAAAACTCGACAAAAAATAACGATGATAGTGGCCGACACTGTTCTCTCACCGATTATCGGTGTCACCCTAGAAATCTTAGTTTCCAATTCAGTCAAATTTGAGGAAGAACGTTGGATATGGAAGTTGTGTTACAAATTTATTAAGTTCTTTTATATTTCTTTGACATTGCTACTATTAATAATGATTAATGATCATATTTTTAAGCGGTAAGATTACATGTGTAACTCTCTTTGACAGTAAAAGACTGGATTGTAAGATGCAGATCTCAAAACTTTCCTTTTTTTTTCTGTTCGTTTAATTTGATGAACGAAAGATTTGATAAACTTTTTTAAATGAAATAGTCTAATATCACACACGGTATAGTATTGTATCACATATTTGCTACCTCCTGTTCTCCTACATATGTATTACAATTCACGAAGCCAAAAAACTTCATACCGATCTAATATTGTAAGAGATAGGAAAAGGTAAACACAGAAAAAAGTTTAAATCATCACTACATATGTAACATATGTATGTAACATATGTACTATTCTTTTCTAATTAAACATGAATATGTGTATATTAGTGTCATTTTTGAGGCAAGCATATGTGTGAATGTCAAATTTGTATTAAAGTAAATAAACTCGAAGTACTCTTATTAAATTTATGTTCACATTTTCCCGAGTTTCTTTATATTTTCAGTAAAGCGTATATTTGAAGACATTATTACGAAGTTATATAATAAAGCTTAATATGAAACATAGTAACGTTTGTTTGATCTGAAGGAAAAAGCTCTAGTGAAGGAACAAAAATAAGTGATGCAAGAGGATATGAATGTTATAAAATGGGCCACACAAATAATGAAGTTACAAAAAATTTCATATTTTTTATATTTTCTATTACGAAATTTTTTGTGTAGAAGTCAGAGTGTGTTGTATGTGTAAAGAGAGTGTCTATTTTCTAATATATACATGATATTAAATGGTGAAAATTACGAACCTTGTCAGACGCAATTTTCAACGCACGTGATAAAATAAGTCGTGAAATTTAATTCAGGCTCCTAAGTATATTCGCATCGTCTATCTTTTTCTGATTAGTCAGAAGCGAGAAAATACGTGCTAAAAATTCTTGTGAAATACGCGAGCAGTCGCCCGGCAAGCGAAAGACCTGGGTTCGAGTCCCGGCCTAGCAGAACCACGCTCTCGATATTTTTCTCTCTGGAACGAAAAGATACGCAGATCTCGAACGCACGGCGTCCCGCCGCCACTTAGTGTGCCCTCTTTATATCCGAGATAAAAAGATACATCCACAAAATGACACTTCCGTACTTTGCTTTTGTTCTAACAATCAATGAATAAACGTAAAATTAATATGACGGAATAATGAGGAAATTAAAAAAAAGATTACATATCACGTTAATTTTATAGTTATTTATTGGTTGTTAGAGCAAAAGTGTGCTCGGAATATTTTGACATACTTAATCGATCGCAAGTGTCATTTTATGGATATATCTTTTTATCTCGACGTATTTCGCAAGGATTTTTAGCATACATTTCCTCGTTTCTATCGTCATTAAAAAGAGATGGACGATACGAGTACTAGAGAGCCTTAACGCGCAAATTAAATGGCTATGTGCGGAGTAATTGAAAAATTGAAATTATTAAGTACATATGAATATACGGCATGTGTCTAATATAAATACCGTTTCCTTTTTTATCAGAAAAATCGATTTTTAATAATTTGCACGAATGAAAATATAGCTCTCGTGCGGTAATCGAGGTAAATTCTCAACTAGAATTAAGAGCTTGGGTTAGAGTACAAAAATTACAATAAATAATAAGAACATTTATCACTTATGACGTAATATAAAGTATAATAGAAAGGTGACTCGAACGCTATGCAAAAGTGTGCTATTAGTGACCACCGAATAGTTCTGCATTTTCCTCGGTATCCATGGATTGGTATCCTTGCTGTAAAATCAATTGTTTCTTATTCTCGAGGCAACCCACACGGGTTACAGGTGACAATAATCTTACACACTCGTCTCTGATGTGTACTATAGCATTCGTCCAACAGCTCGGTCTCCCAATCGTCCTCCTCCTCTTCCCCGGGGTCAAAGTTGTACATCGGCATGAGTCTGTGTCTCAAACGTTCCAACTTCCGCTTCCTCGATATGATTAGTACCTTCAGAAGACAGAATCGGATATCAGAGCTGAGAGAGTCACAATCGTGCCTAACAAAAATATGGGATTCAAAGCGTTGTTAAAAAGAAAAGTTTGCTATCACATGACTATCATTGTGTCAGCTTTATGCACAATACAAGATCGTAATTTTTGATACAGAGAAGCAGATACGCACACGGATATATGTACTAGAACGATCTATTATGTATACAACTAAATAACCAGATCTGCAGAAGCAGTTTTTCGCGCAGTGCCTGCTTTAAATTTTGTCAGCAGCAGAAATACAATATTATCTGTTAGCAGAGTGTGATAACAGATTAACGGTAGAAATTAAACAGAAGCTGTTATTCTGTAATCACTTGAATGGAACATGTTGCAAAGCCAGCTCAGTTCCTGCTGCCAAACTGCTGTTATGTTGACGGAACATACGCCGAAAAAAATATTTAAAAATTTGCGAATTATAAATTTATTACATAGAAATAATGATGAGTAAAATGGGCCAATTTTAACCTAAAAAGTGTAATGTAAATTATACATATAATTTTAGTTTAAATATACATTTTAGTTTTTTAAGTCGCTGAATACGATAATATTTTTATTCATCTAAACCCGTGGAAAAATAGTCAAAATTTGCTTTAAAGGAGTCGAAATAAGTGAAAAATAAATCTTTAATTGTAATCTGGTTAGTTACAATTATTTAATTGTATTATAGTTTAGTTTCATAACTTTTTTTCACTGAAAATTAAGGAAATACTCTAAAAATGTTAAATTTCCTTATAAGAAGTAAAATTTTTGAAACAATGGAAGTCAGCTTTTAGCCATTCATCCTTAAAATTGTAGATGTATGTACATCTGGTGAGATTTTTCAAATTCTTTGAATAAGAAATTGACTATCTTTTTTAATTTTTTATCATATTGATTTCACTGTCAGATGTAGTATTTTTAAAGAGTTTCATTTTTAAATGTCTTCTTGGTTTTTTTCAATGTGAATTATAATACAATTAAATAATTAGGACAAAATTGTCACTAATCGTATTAAAAATAACATTTCAAGTTCGAAAAATTCGAAGGTGAATTTTGATGATCAAAAATGTCACCACTGTACTCAGCGACACAAAAACGTAGGGTTACATGTATAACACATTATTCTTTTTAGACAAAAATCGGATAAGATTTATCCATCATCCTTTATTTCTCAGAAATTAACTTTAAATTCCAATGAATTTTCAAGTTCATTTTTTTTTCTCACGGCACGCTTAATGTAGGCATAGATGGCTATGTATTTGCTGTCAGTATTTCTGATCAAATCTGCTGCCAATCTACTGCCAAAAGTAAAAGTACCAATTCCCGTACATGTATCCTAATCCTGTACATTCTTATTGTTTTGACCTTTAAATACGAATATCTTAACTTTCCACACAGAATGTATATACTCAATACTTCTATATATATTTTATGTTAGAAGTTTAAATATCTATATTTAAGGACCAAAACAATAAGAATGTCTAGGATTAGATGCATGCCCGGGTATTGGTACTTTTATTGCTTTATTTGCTATCATTTTGCTTATTGAATTCATAATCTCTCTCTCCCTCCCTAGCACTTATGCGTCTAAAAAACAAAAACTGGGAAAGGGAGAAAAACGTCACGAGGTAATGACAAAAGTGATATCGCTACCCATACCACAGCTGATAGTATAATAACAGACACCACCACACCAAGTGGCACGAAAATGTATTCCACTCCTTCGGGTGGACCAAACTCATCGAAAGAATCGGAGGTGGTCGGCGTATACATCGTGGTGGTGCCTCCCGACGTGTCGAACGGTATCGACGTCGGTTCGAGGAACGACGTTACTGCGTTCTTAGACAAATTCCATACGCGTTGATTGTTCTCGCTCTCCTGCGCCAGCTCGACGTACGTCGTGGATGTCTCGTTGTAGGTGCTCGCCATGCTGCTGGAGAGCACGTCGAGGTCGGCCGGCGGTACGGTGTACAAAATAGAATCGGTAACAACATCGGTCGCGTTCGGCTCTCTCATATTATTTGTACTATTAGTCTCATGCATCTTACTTTACGAAGCGTCAGTGACAAGCCGTTTTTCTGTCAGTCATACCGACATCGAATGACCACGTTGAGCCTGTGAAGTCGTCGCGCATATTTGCAAGATTTGGCTTACTCGCGATCGAGAATCTCGACGTTGGGCTGGGTGATGTCGATCGGAATTCGTTAGTCCGGCGTCCTCGGTCACAGTCGCATCCAAGAGCGAAACTTTCTTCCGCTCCCGCCGCGGCGGTATCCTGGTGTTTTATCTGCGAGCGGGATCGCGATAAATAGATAGGCAGACCCGTGTAATCTGTGTTTTTGTGCGAACGTGGATATCTCAAGATGATATTTGCGTCCTGTCAACAAACGTGCATGCGTGCTCGCTGTAGAATTTCCACCACATGCACACCTGTGACGATTGCGCTCGTCATATCATGTGCTCGTCCTCGACGTCGTCGTCGTCGTCGTCGCTCGCGATTCTGCCATTTCCTGACGCATCGGTTTATCGCGCTGCCGATTCGCGTCGCCTCTTTTCCCTTCGAGCGTATATCGATTGCACCTGTCCGCAGGATCTATCAATTTCGACGAGCGTGACGGAAAACCGATAGTCGCTCCAGATAATACTTCGCCGTTAGACCAGCCCGAGGTCACGTCGTTGTTGTCGCCGTCGTGCCTTACCGTATTCCCGCGAAATGTCAGAGAAATCGACCAGCTGCATCGCGACGCATCTTATCATGGCTCGACACAGGTACTCTCCGCGAATTGATTTACTACCGCGTCGGCCGTCGCCGCAGCATCGCACAGGATTCTCCCCTCTTCTTCGTCGTCGTCGTTGTTGTCGACGTCGCGCGCGTCTTCCTCAGCGTCTTCGCACCTTCTCACTCGACATCTCGACTTCAGTGCACTCCGTTAGCTGTCTGCGCTGCTCGTGTCCTCCGTCGCGCATGTTGCGAAAACGGGGCGGACGCGACGCAGGCGCGACCTCCTCCAGCTCGGATTTAAAGACCGATTCAAATGCACCCGCCGCACACTGCGCATGCGCGTTTTTGGGGAGCGTTCCATTACGCGCTCGCAACACTCGCGAACGTCATTCTATCTTTTAGCGTGTTCGACTGACCCTGGGTTAATCGTTCCGAGAGCGATTAATGACGTCATAAGTCTCTACTAGCCAATCATAAAGCTTATAAGTACTTGTTCGATCAATAAACGTAGGCTGAATAACCCAGAGTGGGTTAACCCAGAGTCAGTCGAACGTTATTAAACAAATAGCATGTTCGACTGGTTCTGGGTTAACCCACTCTGGATTATTCAGCCTACGTTTATTGGTCAAACAAGTACTTATAAGCTTTATGATTGGCTAGTAGAGACTTATGACGTCATTAGTCGCTCTCGGAGCGATTAACCCAGGGCCAGTCGAACACGCTATATAATTATCTAATAGAAAGTTACTATTTAGTACACGTATCAAGTGCACGATGTAAACCAGGCCAATGAGCAACAAAGATAGAATGATGCTCGCGAGCGTTACGAGCGTGTAACGGAACGCGCACTTGGAAGGAACAGAAAGTTAAGGTGCGATCCATTAGATGCTGCAGATACTTTGAAGTGTCGTATAGACCAATCGTAGCCAATCGTGGCTTCTTTTTAAACGTTTCAAAACGTTTGCGACGTCTAATAGATCGCGTTTTAAGTTACTCTTGCTTACTTTTGCGCTGAAAATGTCGTTCTATCTTTATCACTCATTGGTTTGGTTTACATCGTGCACTTGATACGCGTATTAAATAGTAACTTTCTATTAGATAATCTTAGTATCGACGATATATATAAACAACGGTATATTAAGCTGGTATAATACTCATCAACAAAACGTATTGTATTGATTGAATGCGTCGCAGTTGATATGCATTGTCGATATTAAGATTATCTAATAGAAAGTTACGCCTATCAAGTGCACGATGTAAATCAAGCCATTATATGCCGAAGGAAGATGGAATGATCTCAACCAAATGCGTGCAAGACAAACTTAGCAAGACAGAGACCCTTGAATCAAAATCTGGCCAATATGGTTCTGTCATATTTTGTATTATTTTTGCATTTGGGAATGCGACACCTCAGTGTCTTTTCAGAAAGACAATTAAAATTTTATAATTATAAATCTTGAATATCACCATTGCTAGGTATCATCCCAGATAGCATAGAGAATATTCAGAAAGAATGGAAAAAAGAATTCAGTTGTGTGTTACCAATTCTGAGTTTATTTTCAGATGCAAAAAGAATTTTTCATAGTTCAGTTCAGTAAAAAGAATTCTTTTTGAACCTAAAAATGAACTCAGAATTGATGACATAATTTTTTAAAATTCTCTGTGCTATCTGGGATGTATATACCACGCATACACCCCACATAGCATGCAATATTACACAATGTCACAGTAATGTTTCCGTAATATTTCTGTGATATTGCAATATTACGGAAATATTACTGTGATACTATGTAATATTACGTGCTATATGGGGCACTACCATACATGCAACTATTGTCCCCTTGATATCCTACAACTTTTGTTTGAAACATTTCCTTGAAAATACGTTACAAAATATTCGATGTGGGCAATTAAAATGGGATATTACCACTGAAATATATACTACCTGGAACGCGCGCTACTTTGTGAGGACTGCGGAGAGAGAGGTCCCTGTTTCCTCTGTTATACTTGTCTGATTCAAAGTATAGTCGAGAGTGGGGGGAATAAATCAGACAAGTATAACAAAGGAAACAGGGATCTCTCTCTCATCCCGCAGTCTTCACGAGGCAGCGCGCGTTCCAGGTAGTATATAGTTCAGTGGATATAATTTACTTTGTATATATATTACTTCTGTTATATATCTAGTATTACATATTATTTATATTTTATATAAAAAGATTGTTCAATTTTCTTGAGACGTTTACCTTTTATTTATCTCGTTGAAATATAAAGTTCGGGAGATTATTGATATTAATTTGAATGAGCAGAAGTTGACGAACATGACAGACCAATCAAAGCGCGCGCCTCGACTGACGTGTCATGACTCCTGCACACAGGACGCGGTAATGCTTGCCGCGCGGCGGAAGTCCGCACAACAGCTAATCAATATGTTGTTTTTCCGTAAAAGCTAGAAGATTATTACGGAAGGCATATTGATTGGCTGTTGCGCGAACTTTCGCCGCGCGGCAAGCATTACCATGTCCTGTGTGCAGCAGTCATTAGTCTTTGATTCAAGGGACGTCTACATTGGAAGTAAGTAGTAACAAGTAGGAAGTAAGAGTAAAAAATTGACCAACCACAGTTGAATGTGAAAAAAATAATCAACTATGATTGGTCAATTTCTTATTCTTATTTCTTATTTCTTATTGCTTACTTCCAATGTAGACGTCCCTTCAAGGGTCTCTAGAGGCGTTTTTTCGTTTCGTGACCACGGTAACGTTTGGTTGGTTAGTTTGGTCCATTTAACGCTTGCAATGCTGCGAGTATCTTTCTATCTTTGTTGCTCGAGGCGTTGCAAACGTTAAGTGAACCAAACTAACCAATCAAACGCTACCGTGGTCACAAAACGAAAAACGCCTCTAGAGACCCTTGAAGGGACGTCTACATTGGAAGTAAGCAATAAGAAATAAGAAGTAAGAATAAGAAATTGACCATAGTTGATTATTTTTTTCACATTCGACTGTAGTTGGTCAATTTTTTACTCTTAGGCCGGTATTCATAATCGGATCTTATACTTAAGCCGTCTTAAGTTCATCTTGAGATGATGTATGGATTATTTCATTGGCTATTGAATATCTGAAGATAAATTTAAGACAGACTTAAATATAAGATCCGACTATGAATACCGGCCTTACTTCCTATTTCTTACTACTTACTTACATTGGAAAAGAAGTCCCGGCCTAACCGCCGTCACGACAAGACGTGTTCGAACAAGTTCGGACCTTGTGATTTTTTTGGATCGTGTCTTGAAAATTTCCAAGACTTTGCTCTCGAATTATATCATTAATCGGAAACTGGCGTTGGGGCATTACTCTTAGAGAGGCCTGTAGCCAAATATTGAAGGAAGGAAGGAAGGACTTACATTGGAAGTAAACAGTAAGAAGTAGAAAGTAAGAATAAAAAATTGACTAATCATAGTTGATTATTCTTCTCACATTCGACTGTGGTTGGTCAATTTCTTATTCTTACTTCCTACTTCTTACTATTTACTTCCAATGTAGACGTCCCTTTAGCAGAAAGGCTTGAACGAAGCGTATTCAATGTCCAATAAGAAAATTAATTTAAATCAGAATGGTATTGAGGAAAAATCTTAGGATTATTTGGAACCAATATTGAGAGAGAGAGAGAGAAGAAAATTAATTTTTTTTGCTGAAAATTACTAAAAACCTATTCTCTATCCTATCAAATATTAGTACGTCACAAAATACACTGGCCAATCATGTACTCGACATGAAAGTAGCTGCAAAATTTCTCTCGAACTCGATCCGCATGAGATGGCACAGTTTCTCATCGAGTACAAGAAACAGCAAAAAATCTCCGTCTCACGTGTTCTAAAGTACACTCTGTGAGTTGGTTTGTTTTGAGGTTAGACTACTCCGTGAAGCAGACGACGCGATGATTCAGGCGTTTACATAACGTACACTTGTGTGTAAGCACGGCACGTGTTTTCGCCGGTTAACACCAGTTTTGCTGTCGTGTTTGTTTTTAAGAGAATATGATTTACATAAAAAAGCCCGTGAGACTCAGAGCACCTTGTATCTCGTAGAAGCTGTCGGCGTCAGTTGTATTATGCCCGCGAAGAATATTCTGTACCGGAAAATCTCGGTGGGCGAAATAGTTTTCTCTTTATAGAAGCTCTTTATCAGCTCAATGACGTTACCAAGTTACCTCACAGTATCTCGACTTGAAATCTTGACATCTTCAATCGGACCGTTAAATAGAATCGAGACAGAGCGTTTTATCGAACGAAGATGTTCCACGAACCGGAGGAATCGGTGATTCTCTCCAAAAGCGACGTTTTGCTTACGTCGTTTTTTGTAAGTATGCGTATCCTCGCGTCATCCTTCTGTCTAATTTTAACCCGACACTTGCTGTCATTTGTGATAATTGTGTGTATTGCTCGATTGCTTATCGCCCATAAATCACTCAACAAACAAGATCGATAAGTTTTATATGCTTTGTACGTGTTGCAAATTAATTTTTCGTTTTAATGTCCAATGTCGAGATATTGTCTTAACACTAAAACCCTAAACATCAAAAAAGTTACATAAATTGTAGATATGAATAAATTTTATTCAGTTGCTTGTAACTTCTGTAAAAATAATCGAAATTCAATACTTTCTTTTTAATCGATGTAGAAAACATTGAGAAATATGAATGTATTGAGAAATATCAGTGTCTTGGCGAATTAATGAAGTTACAAAGATTATAATAAAAAGACAAAACACATGGTTTTAAGAAAGATAATATTTGAAAAGTTGGCCTGAATAGATTTTATCCATATCTTGGCTTTTAGAATTGAAATATATGTGACATGTAACTAAGAATTTGACATAAAAATCGGAAAATAATCGATTTTTAATGTCAGTCAGGTGCTCTTGCAGGAATCGTTTGTGACGTGACCCTCTTCCCACTGGACACCCTCAAGACACGATTACAGAGCCAGCATGGATTTTTCCAGTCTGGAGGCTTCAAACAGCTGTACAAAGGGGTAGGGCCTGTGGTCCTGGGTTCTGCACCATCAGGTATTATTATTACATTATCCAGTTGTCAAATTAATAATCTTCGAGTTACATGACACGCTCTATCCTTATTAATGAACATTGTTATTACAGCTGCTATATTTTTTATTACTTATGAAGGAATAAAACAATATTCACAACCATATATACCAGACCAGTATCACTCCATTATACATATGATTGCAGCATCATCTTCTGAAGTCGTAAGTAGTGTTTGCAGCACTATACAGTTGTAGTCGATAATGAATGTATTCTATATTAACATATATATGGGCAGAAAAAGAAATACATGTATCATAAGTCATAGTTTGTAAAACTTGAGTTTTACTATGACTTATGATACATGTATTTGTCATAGTGGACTAATTGTATGATTTTATGTACAGACTGCCTGTTTAGTACGAGTACCAGTGGAAGTAGTTAAACAAAGGAAACAAGCACTGCTGTCAGACACACATCGACTAGCATTAAGAACATTGTATCGTGGTTATGGGAGCACAGTTCTTCGTGACTTGCCATTTGGCTTGGTCCAGATGCCTTTGTGGGAATACTTCAAGCTTTGTTGGACCCGACAGATACACCGGGAATGCACGCCTTTGGAAGGTGCTACTTGCGGTGCCGCGTCAGGTAACAGCCTTAGAGCTCGAGTAATTACTAATTGTATTTAATTATACAGTCATAATTACGTTTAGTTACGTGATTATCTTAATATTATGTCAACTGTTTGCTTCCAGTTGCCATATCTGCTGCCATAACAACGCCCTTGGATGTCGCCAAGACTAGAATTATGTTATCCAGCACGTCGGCGGAGAAAGAGGAAGTTAAAATATCGATGATGTTAAAAGAGGTTTATAGAAACAATGGCGTTAAAGGGTAAAAAATGATGAAAATTCGTATTTCTCAATTAAAATTTATTCTTGAAGCTCTAACGGTATGATCTTCCAGGCTGTTTGCTGGCTTTACCCCAAGAGTAACTGGTTTTACTATCGGTGGATTTATATTCTTCGGCGTTTATGAGAAAGCTAGGGAATTTTGTATATCCTACTTCACACGCTAGTCGCTTCTATAGGTTTCATTCAATTAAAAAAAAAGATTAAATTATATATTAAAACTCTAGCAAATTTTGTGAATGTATGTATTTGCTAATACACGGACACATTTTTATGGTTGGGATATTGACGTAAAAATACGTTCTATTAGAATTTGATTCTAAAAAATAATTTAAGATAAAATCGAAAATGAAAAATTTTATATTTATTGCTAAATGCTTATCTTTTTTAGCTTTCAATCTCTTCAAGAATTATAGAATTATATTATATAGCTATACACAGTATTATAAAATGGTTTTACGTTCCTACATGATGAAATAAGTACAAACGTCTGCTTCGAGATATATAGAGAAATTGGAAGGAGAGAGAGAGGAGACATTTCTCACTTTGCTTAAAGATATTACAGTTAAATAAAAAGAAGATAGGCATGCAAACGTTTCTCAATTGTACATTTATTCTGCTTTGATTAAGATCTTACATACATAATACATCTTTTTAAAGGCACTAATTATCGTTTTAATATTATTCCATATATTTATGTATATTATGCAGCATTAATAAGATCATGAATACACAATTTGTAACTATAAAATTTGTAATCGAAAAGTATTGAAAACATACTTGGTCCATAGCAATATATAAAAATATCTCATACTTATTAATGATATATGATAGTCATAATTATTCACGTCAAAAAAGGACATGATAAGAGAATAAAAAATGAAAACAAATAACATAATTCTATTAGATAACAAATTCCGAAAAAATAAAAAAATAATTTTAACTTTTAAGGCTTCTTGTCGCCGAGACTATGTTGGATTTATGACGTCAAAAGTGAAAACATGCTGACAAAAGTTGCGTGCTATTTCTAAATAAAGATAAATACGGATGAAAGAGTACTTAACATCTCGTTTGAGCACACTTGTACAATTTTTCAGAAACTATCCCTTTCCCTTAATAATCAATAAATAGTCGTATATAAACAGTGAAATAAAGCATGCAGACAAAATAGACTCATTTCACGTTACGTCATTCCTCGCTTCTGACGTTACAAATCCGACATGACTAGCGAGGTGGGGGGAGTACAAGGAGCCTTAATTTGAAACTTTCTAAGTCCTATATTTCCAAGTCAAATGAAACATAAGATTTTCCTCCAGTAAGAAAATCTACTTTCTCTTCTTCTGCGGTTCTGCTTTTCTATCTCTTCTTTATTCTCTGGTGCTGATAAGAAATCTTTTATAATTGCGTAGAACAACTTAGCTGTAAGGAAATACACCAATAAATACACATATATGTGTATATATATATATATATATATATATATATATATATATATATATATATATATATATATATATATATATATATATATATATATATATATATATATATATATATATATATATATATATATATATATATATATATATATATATATATATATATATATATATATATATATATATATATATATATATATATATATATATATATATATATATATATATATATATTTTACAGTAATAAATTTTGAAATATTCGTTCCTACAAACGTTCTCGCCTGTGTAACTGGATGTTACAAAGAATTTCGTCATAACAGATTCCGCGTATTCTTGTGCGCTATTTAAGGGCGGATTTGGTGTTTTGTGTTCATTACATAAATCTTTTTTAGTGGCGCATATATAGATATTACAAGAATGGATTCTGAACTGTAGTAGCCACTCCTTTGCCTTTATGAAAGAGAGTGAATCAGTAATGTCATAACAGATTATAACAGCAGCTCGACCTGAACAATACATCGGAGCCATTGAGTCGTATCTGGTTAACGATACAAAGAGAAATGATTATTAACAACGTGTCCGAGGCAACGTGTATGTACATGGTATGCGTTATACAAGCGTTCAAAAGAATTAGAACGGACATGCGATATATGATAAACTTATCGTTACTTTTGTTCGCCCGCTGTGTCCCATATCTCTACGTCAAATAATACTTCGTCAATTTGTATTTTTCTCTTTGTACATATAGCACCTGTTTTCGCCCTTGACTGTAAATATTATAATGATATTAATTTAAATATGATACATCTATTAGATTTTCAGTGTGGATTTTAACATCGCTGTGTCATGATTTCTATTTCCAGAATGTCACTTGAATGTCAAGTCAATTTTTCTTTTGAAATTACACATCACACGCGAGAAATTTTACTTATACGTTTGCGCCTGCAGACAGGAATGAGTGAGACAGCAATAGTACGAGATATCTCTTCTATTAATTCGATAGAGCGATCGTTTTTCTCATACTTCTGGGAGAGCGAAAAATTAAAATTAATCGCTTGTAGCGTTAACTTTGTGCATGCTCGTAAAGCGTTACAATTCATAATTGCGTTAGCATGTTTTTATTCGAAAAGTTTGAATTCGTACTTTTTGTCTTTTCCGAAGCGCGTAAAGTATAACAGCACGGAACTAAAGAGAAAACTATCTCTACTCGTTGTTTTTCTTTTTTTTTCGTGTAGCAGCATTAATTAATCATAAATTTTTCATGCAGTTTTTCGTCGATAATCGTATCCTCGGAACAAAAATACTTACATTTATCGAGGTTTCGTTGTCATTTAATTCATTAAAGAAACGAGTTATGAGACTGGTTTTTCCAACTCCTGACTTTCCCAACAAAACGATTCTCAATTCATTAGGAATTTTAAATTTATCATTCGAATTCGACATCTTATCGTTCACTTCACTTCACTATATGTCGCGTATAAAATTCGCAGAGTGCGAGTCGACGTTCGAATAAAGCTCTACAGAAAGATTGCGCTTCGACTTGGCATCTTATCCATTGGCTGGATATTGGAACTAACAAAATCAAAGGCCAAAAGAAAAAGAAAACATACGGAAGACAATCTAAAAACAATGTAAACACTTTTTCTATTAAGATCGTCGTAAGTTAATCCTCAGAACCTGCTATTCCATTGGATATATCAAAAGAAAACTTGATGATTTTACATATAAAATTCGATCATGAATACCGTCCATAAATTACCTACTAGATACACAAATAAATTTCACAATTATCTTAAGCAGCAGAGCTAATTACAATCGGTCATCAAATATTTCTTAAAAGTGAAACTGTCACTTTGGCGTGAAAACGCCTAGACGAATATAAATATTTAACGAATATAAATATTTTACTTCTGAAAAAGCAGGATGTTTACGAATCGCAGTCTGTGCATTTAATTTAAAAGAAATTTATTATAGTTTTATATACATATATATTTTTCAATTTTGTAAGGATGTTCCCTCAAAAAAGAACACGTCTATCGTCCTTCCTTGGATTACATTCGTAATGATTCAGTTCGTAACTTGTCATAAAATAAATACTTATAGTGATACGTTATATAACAGGTTTGTCCTTTGCAAATTGATACATACACATCCCATATTAACAACATTTATTTAGCTTTCCCTTGCGCGGCGACCGCAGCCATCGCCGCCTTCACGGTTTCTTCGTCGCCCAAAAACTTCATGGAGACAACAGGCTTGAAATTCTCATCCAACTCGTACACGAACGGGATGCCAGTTGGCAAGTTCAACCCCATGATCTGGTCGTTGGACATTTCTACGAGTGAAAAATTACATGTTGACCAAAGCTGTGTTCTTTTAAGTTGATTTAGACTGCACTTTTTGCTAGAGTAAAAGTTAGAGTAAAACTAGTCTTGCACTAGAACTTTGGTCCTTTTCTCTTAAACATTGGATTGTATATTTGTTTCACTTTAAAGACAGAGTATGCAACCTGGTTCAATTAGTGAAAACAAATTTAAATATATAACAAGAATGGTTGTGTTTACTAGAGAAAGCTACTTTGCAACTATTGTCAAATTTGTGGATCTGATTGGAATATGCTTTTAATCTTTATAATCCAGGAAGCTATAGTGCTCTTTAGAGTAAAGCAAATATATAATTCAATATTGAAGGAAAAAGGAACAAGATTTCAGTGAAAGACTTTATTCAGCTAAAAATAAGGCTTTTGTTTCACCCTGATTGCAAGAAGTACAACTTAACATAGAAAAGGAAAAAAAGACAAAGTTTCAGTGTAGCACTAGTTTAACTAAGAATTGGGGCCCTATTACGGTTTTGTGTGAGAAATGAAAATACGAAAAGTGAGTGAATTTATTAAAATATTTATAATTCATTAGTCAACATCTAGTGAATTCGCTCACTTCTCACACAGAACCGTAATAGGCCCCCAGGCTTCAAATATAACGTCCTCCTCCTTCTATGGTGGATCCCCCATGGCGCATTGCGTCCAAGCACCCGGGGCTTATTTGTATTATTTGCGGATGAGGAGGGGCAACGGTGGAGACGGGCATACATGGGACAGCAGGTCTTAAAGGATAGCAACCTTTGACTTTGAGAGACTGACAGCTGTACTATTTAGTACAGTAACATTGTTTCTCTCTATAATCGCCGTGCACTTGGGATCGCACCAGAGATGTCGCTTCCGAATGGCATTTCTGTTATCTAGGAAGAGGAGAGTGTTGTGAGCATGGAACGTCAGGTAACTCAGTGGTTTAGAGCAGTCGCCCGGCAAGCGAAAGACCCGGGTTCGTGTCCTGGCTTAGCAAAATCGCGCTCTCGATATTTTTCTCTTTCTGGAACGAAAAGATACGCAGATCTCGAACGCACGGCATCCCGTCGCCACTTAGTACGCTCTCCTCCTTCTATGATACACATCGATTATCAATGTCCAGACAGTACAAAACCCCAAAGGACATCTTGGAGATGCCCTGAGGACGTCTTTAGGGGAAATAAGGACATCTTTAGGATACTTCTTGGAGGTTTGTGCTGTCTAGATAAGAATGCAATGTCTCCTACCATCCAAGTGTTTTACTATGCCACGCAAGCTGTTCCCATGGGCTGCTATGATGATCTTCTTGCCTTCCTTTAATTGTGGGATAATGGTCTCGTTCCAGTAAGGTAACGTTCTCTCAATAGTTAACTTGAGAGACTCAAACTTGGGGAATTCCTCAGGCTTAGGTCCGTCAGCGTAACGCGAATCTTTCACTATCGTCTCATAATACTTATGGTCCGCTTCCATCGGCGGCGGCGGCACATCGAACGACCTCCTCCAAATTTGCACTTGCTCCTCACCGTACTTAGCGGCCGTTTCCGCTTTGTTCATACCGGTGAGACCGCCGTAATGTCGCTCGTTTAGACGCCACGTTTTCTGAACGGGTAGGCTGTCCTGGCCGATCTCCTTCAGTATCGACTTGAGGGTCTCCTGCGCTCTGGTGAGCACGGAAGTATGAGCCACGTCGAAGGTATACCCGGCATCCTTCAGGGCCTTCCCCGCCGACACAGCCTCGTTTTTACCTACGAGAGATCACGAGTGAAAATAAGATCCTTAGAATTCTCCTTTATCGATAAAAGCGCCTTTAAATGTGACTTATGAGCTTTCTGATTGGCATACAAGCATGTTTAGAGATGCTTTTACTAATAAAAAAAAAGTCCGGAGTAATTCAGGACTCAAGTATATCCTCGCATATATTAACATAAGAGATAGCCGGTTATATATCTCATATCTCTTCATTTCTTTTAAGTCAACAGATACAAATTTCACGAAGCTTTTGATAATACGCGACCCGAAAACTAATTTCCAAACGATACTTTTGCATTGCGTCGATAATGTCATTCAAATTTCAAAAAAACTTCAGAATCAAGATAGCGCGACCTTTTGCCCTTGAGCAATGGATGCAACAGAAACGACGGAGTACATTCGGCTAATACTCACCCTTGTCCGACAAATTAGCGTCGTACCATCCACAGAAGAGATTCAACTTGTTCCACTCGCTCTCGCCGTGGCGGACCATAACGATCTTATACTTGGACATGTTTCTTGAATCGCAAGAATTATTGACAGAGAGACAAACCGTGAAACTCACCGCGCGGACAGTTTCATACTGTTCAATAGTCTCGCACAGCCGCTCGATTCGAGACGAATCCCCACCATGAGATAAATGTATCATCCGATTCAATATGCGAAAAGAGAGAGAGGGAGATAGAGAGAATGTTCATTTTAGCTACACCTTCCTACATGTCGTATTTCGTTTCAGGTGCAGGAAGTGTAGAAGGGTGACAGCTCTTAGATTTATTGAAGAGAGAGGGAGAGAGAACGTTTAGAGGTTAAGTTAAGGTTAGGTTAGGTTAAGTTTAACTTCATCAAGCACACCGACGAGAGCTTTAGAATAAAGATATCGTGATTATTAATAAATACAAATTCTTTGTGTTGTTAGACACGAATGTAAATAACCGAAGAACATTCGCAGAGTTAATTAACGAGGACTGTGTGGTAGAATGCGGATGATCATAGGCGAAGTTGCAAAGTCAGCTGCAACTACGATATATTTTCCGTTCACGAAGAGGTGACCGTCGATCATATTCACTTGACCGAGAATTATGGATGTGATAAGCGCTAACGACGTCCATGAGTCCCACACTCCGCTCTCTGCAAATCGTGATTTTCTGCAAATCTCGTGCAACTGGCGGATTACTAATGACAAACAGTTTTACCATGCTATTAGCACTGCGCCAATGTTGCACGCACCTAAAAGGTAAGGCAGCGAATTAGCAGCTTCGCGTGCGTATTATCTGACGTACATAGTAATTTGTCGAACAATATTATGTTATGTTATAATATTTATGTTAGTAACTTCTGTGTAGAATAAACTGTGAAGACATAGTGTCTTTGGACACTTGCATCGCTCTGCAATCAACAGACTCTGAATCAACAGAACCTTGCATGATAGACATCAAAGTGACAAATTATCAGAAAATAGCACGTGTTGCTGTTGTTTCCGAGGCCAACGTTCTGGAATTCTTCAAGCAATCTGGAGAATATGAGACAACGATATTCGCAGATTTTATAGATGAATTTGAGGATAATTCTGTATACTTAGCAGAAACAGCTATACAACCTCCTACTACTGAAGCTAGTATTAAGGTGAGACAATTGTTATTTGCATAAATACTTTTGGTTTGTTTCTTTTAGTTGCACTGCTAAACTAGTGCAATAAGTTAAAATGAGACAAATATATTTTTTCTCACTCTAACTTACTGTACTAGTTCAGCAGTGCAGCTAAAAAAACAGGTCAATTGATTTCTGTGTTAATAATCTTTTTATATTAGTTTACCAGAACAAAAAACAAAGGCACAACAATGTGGATATATGGTATAAGACTTATTCTGACAGATGCAGTGAAAGAGAAGGAAACAGATGTTTTTAATTATGATGTCATTCAGACTTTTCTCAGTAATGTGAATGGAAAGCCACACAGAGGAGCTGACATGGCAAGGAAAGTACTTGAGTGTTTCAATGCACAAGAAATCATAAACAATGAAGAGTTTTGTCAGAAAAATCTGGAAACTCTTGCTTTGGACTCACTAGCAAATTCTCTCAAATGCAAAAATGGAATTCTAAAGAGTGATAATGAAAAGGAAAATTCAAACTCCATGGATGATTCTAAACATTTGGATACAGATGTCAGAACATATATTGACAACAAATTTTATGACATGGAAAGGAGATTGATGAAAAGAATAGATGAGATGGAAGCCAATACTAATCAAAGATTGGATGCTATCTTAAGAAAGCTTGAAACACAATTGAATATTTGAAGTAAATGTTAACTTTGAGTTTTGACTTTTGATACTTAATGAAACATGTATTTATATAATGTGAATAGAATAATATATAAAAATAATGTATCTAATAAAATTTTAATAAGATAGATATATATATATATATATATATATATATATATATATATAAACATGATATAAGTAAGATGATTAGTTTTATAACTCTTAATTCAACACAAATATTTGAGTTTCTTTAACCAAGTATAAAGTGTAATATTTTTTTATTTATATTAGAATAATTTACTTTATTCACATATTATACAATTAATTACTGTATCACATTTCTAAATTCCGTATAAAAAAAATTATATAAAACATTGCACACAATTTCAAATTCATGTTAACAATACACTTGTGACTTATATGGATTAGTTTATTTATCTTAATTTAGCTATGGAAGTCTGTAAAAGTTGCTCTAAGAGCTATTGTATACACTATGTTCACACAGTAACCTAAAGCCAGTTTATCAACAGCTTCAATCTACATTACATAACCAATGTAAAAACAATTTGATTTCTGTTGTAACTATTTATTTATTATGACTGTATGTTATGTAATTGTATATACGTTTTATAACACAACATATTGCTGATGATATATTACTCACAAAATTATTTTGTATAGACTAGGAATGTATTGATCTTATCTCATTATTGATCATTTATACCAAAAGTGCTGGGATTAAGTGAAGAATCTTAACCAATCATAATTTACTGACACTTTCTATTAAGGATAATGTTTTTGTTACAACTTTTTATATAACACACTAGTAGTTACATCAGAAATCAATTTTGTGCTAATAAAAACATAAATTGCAATATCTGCATAGATGTTATCAAATTAGTTTTAGGTTATCATTTGAACATGGTTCAACATATTAGTGGCAGTTATACAAAGTCGATTATTTATATATAATTAGGTTTTCCATATTATAAAATATATATCGTATATATGAAAACATAAAAACCTGCAGTGATTCTTATATTTAATGTATGATTATTTATGTTTACAAGTGTATTGTAAATTATAACAAGTACTAAGAAATAATATGCAACAAATAAGTATTAAGAAACTAAAAAATGATTAAGAACCACGATCACAATATAAATAAAAAGAATGATTTGTAGTTTCTTGACAGACTGTTCCCAGTTCAATTGGTTTTCTCTTCCTCAGGAGGATCCCAAGAATGAAGTTGTTTTCGCCATAATTTTACCATACCATCCCAAGCTCTTCTGCTATATTTTATATATTTGGGTGGTGTTCTTGGATGTTCTCGTGTACGTTTATCCCTAAAACAAACATAAGTGAACGATAAAGAGATCTTGCCCTTGTCTCTAATATATGATAAGTTATATATTACAAGATTAATTCTTTTATTTTGTTACTAATGCTTACTTAGGAACTGCTTGGATATATCTATCATATCCGATAGTGTTTTTCCCATAATCTATTTCTTTTTGTCTACGTGCCAGAACAATTGGATCAGTCTCTCTTTCGTATTCCATATGTTTTCTACCACCATCAGATGAATTAGTGGTTGAGCTGGAGTCGCTGTAACATCTACTGCGAGAAACCTTGATCTCTATGTCATCCGTATTATCTTCCCTCATCCTCTTATTGCTGATATTTGACTCCTTTGGCTTATTCTGTACATTGTCTTTGAACTCTATACACATATTGTTTGTACTTTTTTCAAGTGTTTTACAAGTATGATTATCGTCATTTTGTGCATTCGAAATTTTATTGTCCTGCACGTTCTTAGTATCATTCGTACTTTCTATTTCTTCGTACCAAGACTTAGTTTTAAAGATATTCTTTTTCCAAGCTTCTTCCTTTTTCGTGCCATTTTGCTGCGATTTTTCGGGCAATTCAATGGGCGATTCAATAGGCTTGCTAGTGTTCATACATAGAATTTCGTCTAGGAGTTTATCATCCTCAATTCCAATCTGCAATTCTGAATCATCTGATAGTGAATCCATCTTGATAAAAAAATCGGCCTCACACCAAATACTTCGTTCTTAAAACTACTCTGAACACTTTATGCCACACGTGAACTTTATTAAATGCGATTAACGTATTCGTACGTTCTTTATAGAGTATAACCTATTACAATCACTTTAACGAGGTAAGAATGATCTGTTGGCGCTTTTTCCGTGGTGTATGTACACTCACTATCTCTGCGATTCGAGTTACACGTGAACGCAATCAAAGGAGGAGAGATGCTTTTTTTCTTGGGCAGAACGAAATCATGCTCAATATAATCTGTAGGCACTCTCAATCATTATTACGCGCCTCTTCGTTCACTATGCGCGCCTTTTTGATGAACCCACGAACATCCGGTTCGGTCTTTTTGTACAAGCTCTCTATTTCCAATGTTCGAAGTAGTCAATGGCAGAAAATTACGTTTTTACTTTGATAAAGATTTAAAACGTCAAAAGGAATATTTATCTTCTCCGAGAATTACAAACAAATTCTGCCGTTGCATACGGATGTCATGAATTCATTTAAAAAGAGGAGTTTAGAGGATTCACATTGCGTCGACATCTGACGTACAACATTCATATTCAATAAGAGAATTAATTTTCCGGAGATATACAAATGTTAGCTAGAAACTAGCAAAGAAACTCTACTATTGAAATATACGTTTTAAAACGCAACTTGAGTGCTCTCTATCTCTTTTTATCTTATTCTTATATTTTTTTCACTCCAACGCAGCTGGATAACATTCTCGAATACATTTTAGATATCGTATCTTTATCCTGACATAATTTAAAGGCCTGTTCTTCATAGCTGCTCTGCTGAACTAGTGCAATAAGTTAGGCCGGTATTCATAGTCGGATCTTATATTTAAGTCTGTCTTAAATTTATCTTCAGATATTCAATAGCCAATGAAATAATCCATATGTCATCTCAAGATGAATTTAAGACGGTCTTAAATATAAGATCCGATTATGAATACCGGCCTTAGAGTGAGAAAATGTATATTTGTCTTACTTCAACAATATATTGCACCCATCGACATATAGAATAGACTGCTAAATGAGGTGGTGGGGATAGGAACAGATGTAGAGTGAGAGGAAGACAATAGTAGGACACTTTCTGTCTCTGTTTACTGAAATCTGATTGGCTGCAGGAATTTCAGCAATACTGTATCCTGCGAAAGTTAGGCCCCAAGCTAGACGCGAGAGTATTATTTCATGCTATATCTCTATTACGTATTACGTTGCTCGAAAATATCATGTAATACAAAAGTAAAGATAGTACATTTTTGTCAGTTAACCAATTAATAAATACTACTGCATATATAATATCAAGTTGTATTTCTTTTTCTATCAATCTATTTACATATGTATTCATACTTATTCTCATTTCAATACTAATGAAATGTTATTATATATAAAACAGTAATATTTTTTAAATATTAAAAATGTTACATTAGACTAAAATCATAAGTAATTCTTTGAAATATTTATTATAAATTATCAGTATGATTAAGGTTCTGTTACGATGCGCTACGCTCCTACTTGGAAAAGAGACGGAGGTGTCCTACTATTGTCTGCCTCTCACTCTACATCTGTTTCTACCCCCACCATCTCATTTAGCAGTCCATTTTAGGCTGCGTTCAGATTCCCCACCCGAGTGTATTCTATTACTAGAAGTGCTATAGTATATGTCACATATACTATAGTGTTTCTAGTAATAGAGTACACCCAGATGAGGAATCTGAACGCACTCTTGTATGTCGATGATTGTACCAGTTCAGCAGTGCAGCTACAAAGAACAGGCCTTAAGGCCAAATCACACTAACGATTGACGATAGATGATTGACGATTGAAGATTGGAACTTGACCAATTGGAACAAAGCAAGCCAAGGCTGAAGCTTGTTGATTCGTTAAAATCTAATCTTTAATTGACAATCGTCAATCGCCAATCGTTAGTGTGATTTGGCCTTTAAAGGCCCTTGCACAATTCCAAGCTACAGGCAATAGAAATAAGCATTAGCCAATAGGAATAGGAAATAGAAATAATTGACCAATACGAATTCCTATTCCCTGTTCCTATTTCCTGTTGCCTGGCATTCTGCAAGGGCCTTAACCATGGACGTAAGAATATATGGACGGCGCATATTAAAAGGTTATCTTACTTACAAAATGTTTCATAAATATATTTACAAATATATTTACAAAATATTTTTGTGACCTTAGATTCAATAGATGAAAAATATTTATCTCATAAATATTATAAAAATATTTATTAAAATATATACATTTAGGGAGCGTCCTAGATGTGCACATTGACAAACGTACACAGCCAACCCCAACGCCGCATGCCTAGAGATATTCTAGAGATTCTATAAACAACGACATATGATTCGATGTGTCCATTTGTCAATGTGCACAACTGGGACTCACTCTACATTTATATACATTTTTCTCTTTTCCTGAATTTTCTTTAAAATTTCCACTTTATTGTTTCACACGCTACTTAATTGAATTTAAATTGTACTTTGAAAATTTGCTTACCATTGCTGAGATTCGAATTTCTTATTTTTTTATTAATTTAATAATTTTAAATAATTACATTTATTTTTTTCATATATAATATTTGTAAATAGATATATTTACAAAATATTACTACAAATATTTATTTTTCGTTTACTATAAATATTGTATAAAATATTTAGTCTGTATTTTAATAATATTTTCAATAAAGATTTTGATACTTTTTTCTTCATGTATATATTTATATTATATTTGTATAATATTTTTAGAAAATAATTCGAAATAAATATTTATCATAAATATTGTGTGTTGTCTGAGAAACGCATTACTTTCTGCACACCAAAGAACCGTATTCGTACTTAACCCTGATAGCACCGGACGTGCTTGTAACGTTCTTGGCACGTCTGTGCAGACAGGGTAAGGTTCCTGCACATTCAGAACTCAGGCTTCAATTTTTCGGCAGCCGTTTGGATTGGGATGCTAAAAGTTGCAAGCCTTTGACTATGGCTGCGTTCCGAAATTCACTGCCAGTACTGAAAATCTATAGTTCATGTCATGTATATTAGAATTTCAGCACTGGCAGTGAATTTCGGAACGCAGCCTATATAAGCATGGACTGCCAGTTATCCCCACTTTTCCTATTCTTACAATGCTTCGCTATGTAATCAACATCACGCGTGTCCCCAAGGGATAAATGTCAAAAAATCGAAACATGAAGTTAGATTTCAATGGAACAGGAAGGAAGAGAGAGATGGAATACGCCGCACTGTTTTATCACGTTTGATAAAATGCAGAACCATTTGCAGTATAAATAAAATATGTATGTATAAACTTAACACATAATAGTGAAATAAAGACAACAATAAGTGTATAAATAAATAAATAAATAAATAAATAAATAAATATATATATATATATATATTTATTATTGTGTATACATAGCATATAAAAATGTATTATTAAATATATATAAATATGGTATAATTAATAGATTCAATAATACATATATATGTATTATTGAATCTATTAATTATACCATATTTATATATATTTAATAATACATTTTTATATGCTATGTATACACAATAATAAATATATATATATATATATATTTATTATTGTGTATACATAGCATATAAAAATGTATTATTAAATATATATAAATATGGTATAATTAATAGATTCAATAATACATATATATGTATTATTGAATTTAATTAATATATATTTGTGGTTCTCTAATATGTTCAGTTCTTTGACATGTATGTAAAAATTAACGAATATCAAGCATTAATCAAGAATTGATAAAGGTTGCGTTCCGTTTCACGCATATGCGCGCATTTATCTATAGTTCATGTTACGTATATTGTAGACAATGCGCGCATAATGCGTGAAACGGAACGCAACCAAAGTTATTGGTTTGCTACTATACGTGAGTTCACAATATGTCATCGAAATACTGGGATTCGCCACTTATCCCTTAGAGGCGCTTTTCATGTTGATTACAGCGTGAAAATGCCAACTGGCAGTCCATACTTATATAGTCAAAGTTGCAAGCAGTTGCACGATTCTGCTTGCAACTTAAATTAAAGAACGATCAAGATTTACGCAATCTGCAGCTTGATGTGCACAACTAGATATACAGAACGATTAAATTATGCATCGGGTTGTATCTGTTGCGAATAAAAGAACACACCCTAGCTGTAAAAGTGTCAAAAGTGTAAACAACATGAACAAACTTTTTATTGGTCGAATTGCTAATAGCTTCTACACACAGGACGCGGTAATGTTTGCCGCGCGACGGAAATCCGTATGACAGCCAATCAATATGTTGTTTTTCCGTAAGAGCTAGAAGGTTTACGGAAAGTAAGATATTAATTGGCTGTCGCGTGAACTTTCGCCGCGCGGCAAGCATTACCGCGTCTTGTGTGCAGGAGCAATAACTCGACACGTGACGCCCTCTGCTAGTTGTCACATTTAAATATGTACACATAACCTGAATTTAACGTGTAATATTGTATTTTAGCAAAATACTTGTAAAATAAATTCGAAACATTCGATAATCATTGAAAAGACGATACTGCTCGACGATACTTGTCCCCTGCAGGACAAATTAATCGAGAAAGAATAGATAAATAAAATTTCCGTAGTGAGAACGCGAATGTCGAACGTGATCGTGTTGAGCGATTCAGACGAGCCCGCGTCACCTATTGACGAACGCTACGGGAATGAATGTGATAATGAAATTAACGGGAAATATGGGGATTCTGACGCCACGAGCGACGTTGATTTCCCGGAGGTACCGTTCTGCTGTAGGACGGAAGGCTCGACGTCGCGGAGCGACGAGAATCTATTTGATTTGCACGTCAACGATGATTTCAAGCGCGCTTGCCGCAGATCACATGCCATGTCCGATTCTCACGATTCTCACGATTCCAAGGATAATTCGATCGGGAGGACATTGCAAAAGACAACCGCGTCCAAGAAGAGTAAGACCATGTTAAAAGACGAACGGTTGAAGCGACAGCAAGCTTTGGCAAGGGAAAAGGCGTTACGGGCGATCGCCTCGAAGAAGTCGCGTGACATGAAGCCCGGTGAATGTATAAAATTCATGGAAGTCAATCTTGATCAAGGTATCGACACGTTCTCTTTTTCTATGGAAATTCAAAATGTTCTGCGAGATGCTAATATTCAATTTAAAGTAACTACTGAATCAATCCCGAACAGTATCACATGGCGGCGAAATGTCGAGGAGAGCTATGTGGGCGAGAATAACGAGGTATGCTTGAGAAGAAATGTGCAAAGTGAAAAGTACACTATTGTTATTTGGAGCAACCATGAAGCTGTAAAGCACATTGCGGATGATACTCTTTGCGCATCCATTTCAAATTGTAAGGCTTTGATACCAGATCACAATATGACCTTGGTTATCTTTGGCATGGAGGAATATTTCACATATTACAATAAGGTTAAAGGGAAACCGAGTCAGAGTTCTAGAGGTAAAGGATCAAAGTGTAAGAGCAAATGCAATCAACAGTTTGAGACTTTCCCGATTATATCGAGACAGCAACTCGAGATGGGTCTGACTGAAGTACAAATAGTAGCCAAATGTAGCAGCAGATTAATTGAGAATGCACAGGATTTAGCACTGATGATCTATCAGTACACAAAATCTATCTCGGAGATACCATATAAATTACAGAAGAAGGAAAGTGTGGAAAATAAGTTTCAGTGGTATGTTATGGGAGACAACAGAAACACTGTACGCGTAGACAAAGATGGAAATGGATTGAAGAGATTGTGGCAACAGCAGCTGTGCCAGTTTAATTTGAGTAGCTTGGAAATAGCAGAGGCAATATGCACTGTTTATCCAAGTCCAATACAACTTATTGAGGTATTGTTTAATTATAACATTGTAATATGTGTATTCTGTTCTGCTGTCTTAATGCAAACTTAATTCTTGTGTTTTATATATATATATATATATATATATATATATATATATATATATATATATATAAGTGAGATTACATGTTAAATATAATATTTTATTTTTATCCTTCTAGGCTTATAGAAATTGCACATCTGAAGAGGGTATGAATTTATTGAAAGACATACCAGTGAGTGATTTTCAATTTTATTTCTCCAGTTTAGCAAATTGCGGTATAAAGTAATAAAATTATCAGAGACATTCAAGAGTTGCTTCTAACAGAATTCTGTCTACTGCATATTCGTTTAAACTCACTGCATACAAATGCAGATCTATCAGTCGCAGTTTACATATCGCGAAATACACTTCCACATAAATCACAGTGTGTTCCACTGTGGCTTATACGATTTGATGATGTAATAAATATGTTATAACATATATGTAATACTAAACAGATCAGAAGAGCGGCGGGACCCCTCACGGCTGTGCGTAAAGTCGGTCCGGAACTAAGCAAGAAAATGTATTTGATGTTCACGTCGCAAAATGGAGACACTCCACTGGGAACTGAAGATTAAGCCGTAGTCGCGAGCTTTTACAGCAATACTGTCTATAAGTAAGATGGGTGACACACAGAAAGATGTAAACAGTAAGGCTGGGAACGCACAAACTTGACAGTAAAATTTAAACAGTAAAATTTAAACAATAAGAAAATTGACCAATCACAATCGACGATTCTCCTTATGGTCAAAGAATAATCGAGTGTGATTGATCGATTTTTTACTGCTTACATCTTGTTGCTTCAGTTTTTCTTTGTGATTTTTTGGAGACCGATGGTCTCATAAATTGGATTGGATTAAGGAGTTGAAAAACTCTCGTCCCATCAACCCTATAAGAAGAAGTTTTTCTTCGTGCGTTAAGTTTACGATTATGTACGGACTTCAATTTACAACAAGCAACTTGCAGCTTGTAACGCAACTTGAAGCGCGATGCGGATATTCCTATGCGGAGGCTCTAAGTTTTACTGTTTGCATTTTTCTGCATGCCACAACCCTTAATTTACTCGTTATGTGTTTTTCACACGTTGAAGTCGCGTATGAAGGTATTGTGTGTATATAGTGTTTAATTTATGGAAGTAATGTTCTCCCGCTATCAACACCCCGCATATATTTGTCGTCTTTCGAATTCTTTGGCCAATTCGGTATTAATAGCGGGCATTATGTGTATATGGAAGAGAATAGATATATTTAATATTATTAAGCGTTTATAAATAATCGAACAATAAATATTCCGTCCTCTCTCTCTTGCATGTTGTGTCATGCACATGTAACACGTAGAACTTAAAAGTAGATCGCGCTTCAGAATTTGTATACGCGATATATACAATAATAAAACACGTTAATCGTGGCTACGTTGAAATTTAGAGATCAGTACAGGATTATGTTTATATTGTACTGTTAGATCTCTGTCGAAATAATATCGATTTATCGTGTCGAAATACATACTTCGCGAACATCGCGTATCGCACAATCAACGCATCACTAAGACTTCTCGTCGCGATCATCTTGATTGCTGATGTCAGACGCGAGAAAATATACGCTGAGAATTCTTGCAAAATACGTAGAAATAAAAAGATGTATCCATAAAATGACACTTGCAATCGTTCGAGTAGATAATGAGTAAAATAGTTCGAACATTTTCTTTTTGTTCTAACAATCAATAAATAACTGTAAATTGTTAACGTGACAAAATCATGAAGGAATATGGTTTAAAAAAGTAGATTGCATGTCACGTTAATTTTACGATCATTGTTAAAATAAAAGGAAAGTGGACTAGTGTTTTGTAGATGTGCCCGATCGATTGCGAGTGTCATATCAATGGGTATATCTTTTTATCTTAACGCATTTTCCAAGAAATGTTTTCGCAATTTTTATCGTATTTTTTCTCGTCTCTGGCACCATCAATCGAGAGTTTCGCGGCGAGGAGCCAGAAACCTGAATATTTCCCGAACAATTCTAAATATTTAACTTCTTAATTCTCAGGAAACAATCCTGCGGATTCTACGATTGCGTTTCACCGGCATTGCCAAAGGTGGACTGTTCCGGTTGCGACTCGTCCAATTTCGTCTCGTCCAATATATCAGCGAGACAGTTGTCATCGGCGAGAGTGATGGGTGACGTTGGATCGATCGTAGGCGTAGATGTGTACTTGCGTTCTATGATATTCGTCTTGATGGCGTCCTCGATCTCCAATATATCACTCGCAAAGGGATCCTCATAGCTGGTTGATACGCTAGAAGACGCCTGCACGAATCTATTGTCATCCTTCTCGAAAGTCAAGATCTTGGGCGCGCTCGAGTCATCCGAGATCTTCGTCGCGGTTACCTGCTCGCCTCTCTTGCTCTGCTGAGGCGGTAGCGCGTTCCTCTTCGCCAAGATGATCTTGGTATACTTGACGGTCGGTTGCACCAGTCGACTTTCCATCGGCACTCCGACTCTGTTCTTCGCCGGCATGACGCTGCTGTTGCCGTTGTTGCCGCTCTGCGATCGGGCCTGCAGTATCAGGTGATTCAGGTTTTGCATAGGCATATTAGTCGAACATATAACGGCCTGCGTGGAGCTCGGGCCGAGCTTGCTCTGTTGTGTCTGTTGCAGTTTGTCCTGTTTATTGCTTATGAGAACCACTTTGGTGGTGCTGTTCAATTTCGGCTTCTCCTGGGGCTCCTTCGTCATCGTCGCCATGACCGGTATCCTGTCAATGTTGCCCAAGTTGTCGTCATCCTTGGCGAATATTATCGGTATGTCCAGTATATTTCCCAGATCGTCGTCTATGTCGTTCACGGGGTTCTTCTTCGGTACGCTCTGCTGAGGTTTCCCTTTCTGCTGCAGTCGCTGCAAATTGTTCGTGTTGACGGTAATCTTCGGCATCGTCTTCATGGATTTGTGGGAAATCTTTAGTTTATTGGACAACGGCAAGACGCTGCCTGGACAGCCTTGGTTGTTGAACGGCATGATCACCGATGATGGCGCGCCTCGATTCTGAAGCGAATTCTCGATAATGACTATGTTACTGCATGATGTATTATGTGAGTTATCACTATTGGTGGCTGCGGTCCCTTGTCGTGACAAGTGTGCCAGCTTCGACACGTCCAGCGAATGAGTCGAACTGAGTATCGCTGGGTGAGCGTCACTGCTTACCTCCATCTCCTCCATCGCTATAAAATACACACGTATATTTGTCTCATTTGACTGGTATTGTTTCGCTAATCTGACTAATATATATGTTAAACAAATGTCGTGTAGATCGATAGAAGTTTGGACCAAGAGCATCTCTATCTTACTGCAAATCTAAAGACGACTTAGCTCTTCATTAATAGTTGTTACTTGAAATTGAGATTTTGATTGAGTTAGGTGTGAGTTTCTCTATAGAACAAGTTCCAAATAACGACTATTAATATGAGCTTAGCACACCAAAACATGAGTCAGTCTTATTTTAATGAGACAACAGTCGCGTTCTCGATCTGTGTCAAGTAAATTTTTTCAGGGTATTGATCATGTATCTTTTCCTCTAGCGGGAACTCGTTTCAGGTGAACATTTTCACATTTCCATTGTTCGAGAAATTACATGATCACTAAAGTCGTCGAGTTGACATGAAACTTTTCACTCCACCCGTTTCCGCTTTTAAGAAGTTACATTATCGTTACCCTGCTCACTACATTCGCAAGAGATCTATTGCTACAGCCATAAGCGCTTATGCTGTTTTCCAAAAGACCTGACATGCTGAATAAGGGGCTCTTATCGGGCGAACATTGCTGGCAATACCTGACACAAATGATCGTAATTTAATACCTCAGAGACCAATTAGTTTTCTTATATTATCTAGACACATATATTGCAATCGTTTGAATGGCCGAGTGGACGGGACCAGGGATTGGAAATCAAATAAATTCGTGTGTATTACGTCAACAAAATATTTATTGAATACAAAATAAAAGGCAATCTGGCGTTTTAATGTTTACAATTCGTTTTTAATGCGTATTTCAGGTTGCACGATGCAAATGCTTATCATTCATCTACGGCATATTAATTGCATACGTATTATAATATGCATAACATATGCTTACATACGATAGGATCTACCGTGCATATCGTATGTTATTGATAAAGAGGCAAACCGAGTTCTCTCGCCTTGCTTCCGTGCTTTACAGGATATTTTATTGAAGAAAAGAGCTTATGCAAATTTTGATAAAATTGCCATCAAAACAGTTACATTACACGAAGTCAATAATTAAAAGTAATAGAAGGGTACGTCTCATCAATAGTTTCTAGCTACTTTGGCTGCAAAATGAAAAAAAATATGTTTAACGAGAGAAAGCTTGCGAAGCGAAATAAGTCTAGCGTAAAATTAATATTAAGCGACCTTAGGAGGAGAATATTTTGGTTTTACATAGAGGAAGTTTACAATAAATATAAATCAAGCACAGACGCTTTTTATATAAATTAATATTCTTTTCTACAATCCTGTTTTACTGATTCTGTTCTAATTTGAAAATTTGCTACGTTACGTATCTTCCTTATTAACACGCAAGGAGATTTATTTTTTTTTAATTATATATATGTATATATATACTATACAATTATATAGTATAATACTTCAACCGCACAAAACACGTCTCACGCACGTATAATTCATAAAAGTTTGGTATAATATATTATCGTCTATGTTCTATGCGGTTTATACTTTTTCGAGTCTATATAATCAAGTCTGTAAGAAACTTTATGTACAGAAAAACGTTTTTTCGCGACGAGATTTGTGTATATTATATAAATACTATTCACAGTGCTGGAATATGACCTGTAAATTGCAAAATATATAGCAGCATTCCAGCATTAAAAAAATTTCAGCTACTAACACTTTCAGCATTAATGCGCTTTGCTCTAATTTTTATTTCTTAGCATATTAGAATATCGAGAATCGCAATAAAATTATGAGAAATTAAGTTTTCAGTCTGTTCCCTTTGATGTGGTCTACCGTGTACCAAGATCATGCACATCGCGCGAGTTATTATACAATGCTTTGTGTGTACGAGTATAAACGTTTAGTATAAAAATGTATATGCGTATATACAAATCGTATCGTTCTTTGACGTACATCAGCGTGAGAAAAATAGAGAATTAAAAAAAAAGAGTTTTCATCGTCTTATATACGATATATATTCTTTATGTCCATAAAATATTCACTTATACAAGTTTGAATATATATCAGCTATTAAATAATAAATACCATAAAAAAAGAGAGTAGCTCTACTTGTTTACGTTAAAGCCAACAATAGAGCTAAATCATGCCTTGGAGCATGAGCACCTCAGATATGTCAAAGTTTACGTTACGACTGTGATATATTGGACACACAATCATTACTTTCATTTCGTTAAATCAACACGGGTTTGATTGGCTAAATACAAATCGTCCTAAGTACACTCACGAGACAGAAACTGCAATGCCGTTTCGCTCGATTGACAATCGATCGGAACTAAGTTTCAGTTAAATTGCTTAATAGTTGATTAGATAATAGTAATCTACCTTTTGAATTGGATGACGTGGACGGCGCTATACTATTGGTCGGTGAATTGCTGGTCGTCAGTAGTATACTGGAAGCCGACGACACACGGGCGGAGGACGCGGCGTTCGTGGTGGAGCTCTTCCCAGCTTGCAAAAGATTCGACAATGCGCCACTCGATGTGATGGGTTTAAGAGTTCCTGTTGTTTATAATTAAACAAGAAAGAGATACTGTAAATAATGTATCTGAAGCTGTTCTCGCAATTGAGACAACGTCGACGGAAGAGAGTTTTAAAATTAATATAGCAAAATCATGAGGAAAGATAAGTTGAAGAAGAAGGAAGGTGGTATGTCATGTTAGCTTTAAAGCTATTTGACTATTAAGTGAAAAAATTAGTTTTCAGAGCATTTTACAAGTATGCTCAAGCGATTTGAAGTGTTCTTTCATACAAATATCTTTTAACATGCGTTTTCTCGCTTCCGACGTCATCAATCCAGATTTCCCCAGCAATGGGACCAGAAACTTTAAGCTCAGACCTGCATTGTGTTCTCTTTCTGTTTTTTTTTCTTTGTCTCTGACTTGAATTTTAAGCCAGAAAAACAGAGAATAAGAGGCAGAAAGCAAAAAGCATATGATAGATCAGGATTAGGTGTCGATGAACTGACAACTCACCTCCAGCGGCTGTGTTAACTCGAATTTGATTTCCGCTAGTGGTGAAAACACTCATGAGTTTCGCGTCTCCGCTCTTATCAGGTACATTCATTTGTCTATAATTGTGCGAGATCACGTTCGTAATGGGCGTGTAGGAAGGCACGAGTGTTTTTATCTTCGAGACACCTTGTAGCGGCACATTTGAGACGATTTTCGGCATCTTAACGGATGCACTCGCGGATTTGGACGTGCTGGATGTCTTGGGAGACGAGCTCGCAATCTGGCCAACAGTAGTGGGTGCTAAACGTATCGGTCCTATAGGTGCCAGACTCGCCAGTGTGCCGATATTGAGTGTTATACCATTCTCCGCGTTGATGTTTGTCTACAAATAAACCGACAATTCTTATTAAATATAAATATATATAAACCCAAACAGCACAAATGTTTAAAACACCTCAAAAACGTTTAAATTAAATAGACGTCTCTGTCCTTTGAACATTTATGTTGTATTAGCATATAAATATAAAAATATATGTACGTTAATATATATATGTACGTTAATATTATAATAAAAACATTTGAGATTAATAATCTCGAGAAAAGTGTATGTATCCGCATAGTGAAAAGTTGCTATAACATGAGCAAAGTTGGGTAAGTTAGTTTTTCTTAACCAAATTAAGTTTAAAGTTATAATGGCCCTTAAGTTAACTTAAGTTTACGTTAAAGGTTACAATAAAAAATAATATATTCAAAAGTTCAGTTATAATTAAATTATTAAAGTTAAAAGTTAATTATGCAAAGCAATATATATCTTCTTGCATCATTAACTTTTTAATTAAAGATTAAATTTGTGAATTAGTAAAAATATTTTTTATTAAAAAATATCGACTGTTTTTTTTGCGCTCAAGATTCCATACAAAGAAAAAACACTGACGCTCAGAGAGACAAAAAGAATTGTCATTTTTTATTTTTCTTACTCTACTGTTAGTAGCTCACAATTGATTCAAGTATTAATGAATTATTTTAGCTTATATAAAAAAAAGTTAATAAGTTAAAGTTAATGAATTTTAGATAACCAGTTCAAAGAGTTCAAAGTTTATTCATTTAAAATTAACTAAATTAAGTTAGAAGTTATTAACGTTTTAACTTAACATTTAACTGATTAACTAGTCATTATTCCTGAACCATGAATATCGATTATTATTTATATTTGTTTTATAAATATTATTTATATTATACGCATAAAAAACAATTACCTGTCCCGGGAACCTGGTAGCTTTAATGTGTTCGCCAAATTGGTTTTTCTGGTTGCCCGCGGCTCGCTTTCGTTTCGGATTGGGAGTATGGTTAGTGTGTTGTCCGCCCGCTTGCCCCAAATTAGTTTGGCTACTGTATGTGCCCACCTTGGGAACCGCGCCCGACGTTGCGTTCGTCCCGACCGACGGCAGCGTCACCGGCGTATTCGACTGCGATTTCTTCACGATCGGCGAATTGGGTTCGCTCTCCACGGAACTGCTGGTCGAGTTCCGTCGTTTGTGAGACTCCTTCTTGCTCTTGTTGTCGCAGTTAGCCGCCAGCGTTGGTCTTAACGGCAACGGGTGCGGTTGCAGCAGGATACCACCGACGAAGTCGCCGATCTCATCCAGTATGCATTTGTCCACCATGCTTTGTGTGATACCCTCGAGTATCTTCTTGGATGTAGATATCCTGAGATGATCGTCCGCCGTGCCTACAACCACCAGACTCGTCTCGACCAACATCTTCTCTCGCAAATCTTCCAAGTCATCGGTCGTCGCGAGAGTGGCGTTTTGTCCTATGATGAACATTACGGGACAACGAATGTCCATCAGGGTGTCGTCTGGTGTACCTCGCTTCCCTTCAACCGTCACGAAAGGAAATCCGATGCAGATGACGGCGGTTACGTGTTCCATCTGTGCTACCTAAGTCGCAAGGTAAGTGAGATTCAATGTGTGCGCGCGCCTCTGTGCGTAGATGTGAATATGGTGGTAATGATCAGAAAGCTTATTAAGGTTCCTGAGCATGTATTACAGAACTCTTTGGACTTATTCCGTTATTTCTCAAAGCTCAGTCACACATAGTTGAACTTTATTTTGAATCGCACTTGGAGAAAGGCAATCCAGATCCAGACAATCATCCTACGGTAGTCATGAGAACTTGGATGATAAGTTCTCATGACTACCGTAGGATGTACGATTGATCTGGATTGCCTCTCCCCAAGTGCGATTCAAAATAAAGTTTAACTATGTATGACTGAGTTTTGAGATATAACGAAGAAGAAAAAACTATTCCGTTATTCTTCAGATTTCAATTTTCTAAGAGAAACGGAATTATTCCAATCGGAATCGAGTCCGATGGAGAGTTTCATAGTACGTGTTCTATTTCTTCGCCGCAAAACTCCCGCTTGATGACGTCAAAGGCAAAAAAATACACGATAAAAATTCCTGCAAAATACGTTGAAATAAGAAGATATACCTATAAAATGATACGTGCAATCGATCGATTGATCGAGCACATTTGTAAAATAGTTTGAATGCTTTCAATCAATAAATTGTCAAATTAACATGCAAATCTATCTTTTTAACCAACTTTCCCTCATGATTTGGTCATGTCAATTTTACGATTGTTTATTGATTTTTGGAATAAGAAGTGTTTGATTTTGTATTTTTTTACATTTGCTCGTTCGATTACAAGTGTCATTTTATGGATACATTTTTCTGCTCTTACGTATTTCGCAAAAATTTTTAGCGTGTATCTTTTCGCTTCTGACGTCATCAAGATAGCCGCAGCAAAAAACCGGGAGCTTTAGAAGACTAGAGATATAAAAAAAAAAACAATCTCGACTGATACAGGTAAAAAAGCAAACCTCCTCTCTTCTGCGAGGTGCTGCTTCTAAGCGGAATCGTGTAAGATTTTTGAGAAGACTTACCTGACAGGCGAGCGCCGAGCCAGTATTGAAACCAACTAATATTATCGGCCTGCCAGGACTGTCGCTTCTGACGTCCTGTATCTTTGCTCTTGTAGCTTGAACTAGCTGATCCATAAACACCAACATGGTCATCCTGTTGGCTGCCAATCCCAGATGAGTATGAACGGTGACTACCATGCCTAAAGAGCCCAGCTGCGCGATCCATTTGGTCTGACGAGAAGAAACGCTCGACGTAATGCCGGAGGGTACTATTATTAAAATTGGATTTCCGGGCAATTTCTTCTGTAATTACATGATCACGTGATCTCTCACAGTACACAGCAAAGTAACTTACACATTACTCTCTACGCAAAACTCTACGCATTAATGATCATGTTATATTTACAAGTCTACTCCCGCTCAGACTCTGTGAAACAGGATCCCACGATCGTTTTAAGAGCGACCCGAGCATTTCCCACGTTACAGGGCCCGTTTTGGAGTTAATATTCGGTTGTACCGCGATCATCTTGTCGATTAGTTGAGTGATCTTTGGTCTTAGAGTCTGTAAGATGTCCAAATAAATGACCAAATATTCCTGGGAAAGATGCTCGAACAGTAAGTGGTGCAGCCACTGCACCAGCCTCCAGTCCCATCCAGTCGACGCCAAAGTCTCCCGAAATCTTCTCGCCGCAATATCCACAGACGTTCGTCGAAAAATCGGCTCCACACTGCTCTTGGCCTTGGCTAATCTTGCGAGTCTTTCTGAGCTTAGTATACGCGTAACTCTGGTGAATATTCGATTCTGAGTGGAAGACCAAAATGTTTTGTCTATCTTGTCCTCCCAGTCCTCGTCTTCTTCTGGTCGCGCGATATTCGTTATTCGTTGAAATTCATCCATTTGTTGTCGAGCTTTTGTCAGATCTAACGGCAATACCGGTGAGTCATTTCCAGTATCTTCCACAATAATTTCTTCATTTTTCCTATTCTTGTCACTAAAATGTCAATATAGCAAAGTAATGCATATAGATGTCTATTACTATGTATTAATTTTGCACAAATTGTGTTTAAATTATGCATTATTATTAATTTACCTTGTTGCTGTATTCTTTGAAAAAAACAGCCTTTTTACGGGCTTCACATAAATATTTTCTGGCCTCCAGTTCCAAGGTCGTGCGTAACAGTGATCTTTGAGTATTATATCAACCTCCATTTCATAGTTTCCATTTAGTTGCTGCAGATATTCAGATATTAACCTATGGATATTGTCATCGAATGAGTCCATTGCCAGACCTGACATCTCAGGAGTACCCATTGAGGTAGAAGGTGCTGTAGATACAGATGTTAACATTATGTTGGCTTAATTATCAATGTAACTGAATATCTGAGCTTAATTCAAATATTACACAGATACTCTAAGTTGCAGTGACAATAAGCTTCCCTGTAAGGAATTGCACAATTATATATTTTGTGTTGTTGAAGTTAAAATAAATGACATAACCTTGCTACTACTACGCAATACGAATAATTAAATTAATTCACGTACGTTATATTACGGTATGTGTTCTCCTGTTGTATTGAACAGTTAGATCAGTACAAGAAACGTGGAAAACTAACCTAGATTCGCTTCACGCTATCACATCGAAGGTTTCTTTATTCATTAAGTTACAATCATATGCGAGACATCAATGTTTTGTGAATAATACTGCGAGTGTATACGTTGCTCCCTCGTGGCTTTAATGCAAGATATTACGAATGCTCAACGCATTCATCACGAATAACCTCAAAAAAAAAAATCATCATTCATGGTCAGGGTCGCCAAGTTTTGGAAGCGACAATTTTTCAGAGAGTAGTTAGGATTGCCAGGTTTCAGAAGCATCGATGTGCCATTTCAGAAGATTTAGGACGCCACCTTCAACAATTTTAAAGACATAACGCGCCATATAGCGCCAAATTTGAAAATCAACAACTTGAAAACTGGCAACATCTACAGACCAAATGCATTGATAATATACAGATTATAGAAGATTAATAAAAACACTTAATTGTATTATATTTATATTTAGTTTATCATCAAAGTTATATGCAATATTTTATAATTTATAATATAATTTATAATTTTATAATATTAATAGAAACATTTTATAATATAACTTTTGAATGTCAGAACTAAAAAAAATAATATTTTATATTATAATTATTTCGTAATTATCGTACTAGAATATAACCAAAATTTATAGTTATAATCAATAAATATAAATTCGTAATATGTAATTATGCTTTTATCGACACGTCATTTTGACGTGCGTCTGCTACCTAGGTATGAAAAAACTTAGCCCAAATTGATTGAAATTAGTAGATGTCAGGAAAATATACCCAGGTAGCACACACACATTTTAAAAATGTTTTATAAACGTTAGAATCAAACCTTTTATAATCGTTTCCAAAACGTTTCTGAAACGTTTTTCATGAGTAAAAATGTCCACTCAAAAAACGTTAGGCGAAACCTAACGTTATCTTTGCGAAAAAAATCGTTGAAGAAACGTTTTATAAAGGTTTTATAAACGATTTATAAATAAGGTTTCAAAGAGGTTCTTGTTAAAACGTTTCTTATTGGTGCTTTACGGTTCTGAAATTATAGATACTTTCAAGAAACGTTTCTGATATGTGTATGTGCTACCTGGGTATACTACAATATCAGTAATTTTATAATAATTCCTAGTAGTTTTTAATAAAAATTTTGTGCGTCCACACTTAGCGTGTCAAAGAGTCACTTTAGCGGAATTACGCCAGATCTGGCAACCCTGAGCCGACATCATACTAGATCATTCCCTAGATCGAGAATTACTAAGCCCTTATATTTAAAAAATTTTCTTTTATTATAAAATTGCTAAATATGCTTATAAGCCAGAAGACTTCGATAAGAGTTCAGAATAACAGAGCATTCATATATTTCTTAAACCGATGCGGCCGTTTCTACATACACACGACTCAATAATACCTTTCCCTTAGCATATTTTGATAATTTGCACTTTCTCTCAAATTAATTCCTGTCGAAATTTAAAGTTATAATAAGGAAATACATATAATACGCCCGAGTGAAAATACTTTTATTGTGCGATCATAAACAAAATTTCAATCGAGATTACTATCGATATAATGTTTGAGTTACTATCGATGTTTTATCTATGTGTACCTGGTGTGCCACATCAAACTTGACCGCACTTTCGTGTCGATCGGTGTCGACGCGAGTTGAGTTATTACATGATGAAGCGTTTAATGTTACGATTTCTATACTTTCTTTATATAGACGAAGCGACTTGTTTATAGTTTAAATGCGTAATATATTGAGATGACTAACATAAGCGGACTCCAGCTTTCAGTGGGCTTTCTCTTTGACGTTTTACTACGCGTTTTCCTGGCCGTACTATTCGTGTAAGTAAACGTTTAATGGATGTAACATTGGCCAATCAATATCTTATAATTAGCCTACATAGATTAGCGCTTGTTCAAATAAAGTATTAATTAGCATTAATACGCAATAAAATCATATATTTTATTTAAGTTATAGCTTTATCTAAAAAATCAATATTTTATAGCTTATTGACAATTATATCAATGTAGCACAATTTTTTCCATATTGTAGTTACTCTGCAAGACAAAATTCTAATGTATGTGAAGATTATACATTTATATTTTAAATTAAATTTCGCATTCTATAGTAATCTAATATTACCAATGATGACTGAATAAAGTTTTGACTTTTTTTTAGAGAACTAGAAAAAGCAGAACCATTTACAAGAAAAATTCATGAAGATGAATTATGGTTATATAGAAATCCAAGGACAGAGTCATTCGTTCCAACTACAGTATTATGGGTATATATATTTGAAGAGATTTCAACCAATGGCATACTATATTACAATTTATATTAAATGACATTCTCTTTTTCAGCCTCTTGTATTTATGATGCCAATTGCTGTGATTTGTTTTTTTTTTATATGGCACAAAGACAAAGTTGACCTCCAACAGGCGATATTGTCTGTGACGTTAGCTCTAGGTTTCAACGGTCTGATTACAGACATTTTAAAACTCATAGTAGGTATGTTGTTTATCAAAATATTTCAACAAAACGTACAACTGTTAAGCTTGACATGGAATATGTTCTTTGTTTCCTATCTTTTTTGACTAAAGGCTTAAGGTTTGATTGAGAAAGAAATAAAAAACAAAAAAACACATTGTAGATTTAAGTTAAGAGATAAAAAGAAAGGAAGCAAAATTATAGATTAGACTTCATTGGACTAGTATATTATCTGTATATGCATTATTTTCCAGGTCGTCCCAGGCCAGACTTCTTCTGGCGGTGTTTTCCAGACGGTCAAATGAATGCAGGATTTAAGTGTACCGGTGATCCAATTACTATCAGAGATGGCAAGAAGTCATTCCCAAGCGGACATTCCTCATGTACGTTAATCTCACATTGTATGAACATCTGTGACTATAAACGTGTGCTCAATACGTTAGTACACTCATTGATCTTGTGCATGTAAAAGAGAGCAAACAAATTACACACGCGAGGTGACGGAGATGTTTTCACAAAAGAAACGTTCTTTCCAGTTGCGTTCGCGAGTTTCGGTTTCATCGCCCTGTACTTAGCCGGGAAACTACATACATTCAGTCTGGCTGGAAAAGGACAATCGTGGAGACTGTGTATGTTCTTCTTACCGATCTGCGTTGCTCTCACTATCGCGTTAAGCAGAACGTGCGATTATCATCATCATTGGCAGGGTAAGCGTCTCATCGCTCAGATAATTGCAATCCGATCGTATTACCATCTCATGTACACGCGGTCCATTTCAGATGTGGTGGCAGGATCGGTAATAGGCTATTGTTTAACGTACATCTGCTACAGACATTATTATCCTCCGTTAGACTCGTCGTATTGCGACAGGCCATACGTCGTACTTACTTCGCAAATTCAATCGGGTAACGTCAAGTCTATCAAGAATGAGCAAATTAAGTGGATCTAGTGGAAACTATACATGCCATATATGTCAGTATTTAATATTTTGTCAACATGTTGACAAAGTTAAGGTGTTAAATCACATTGCGTTTCGAAATTTATTTATTTTGTTATTTTCTTAATATCCTCTCTTTTGAGATCTGTATTTTTGTGTACATATATTTGAATAAATGTGCACAGATAATTGTCTACATATATTCGAATAAACGTATCTTATATGTATGACCAGAGGACTGAGTTCAAGTGAATTGTTTTAATAATTGTGACTTGAAGCTTGTTGTGAGAATTCAGATTTGAATTTTAAGTTGGATCTTGGTTTTCATTTACACAATATACGCACGTGACATTATAATTGCAATCATAATTCCAGTTAATTAACCTATAATCTAATAATCGTTACTTGAAACTTACTTTAGTCCAAACAGCACAGATCTCGACAGAACATCCTAAAAAACGTTCTAAGAAAATCTTACGTGCTAAGAACATCTCCAGGACATCTCATGGAAATCTCCTGCTGTCTGGAAGATGAGATATTCAGATTCGAATTTCGAGTCAGATGATCTTTTCAGCTGAATCATAATTACAAATGTAATGTTGTGTGTTATACTACTGTGTCCAAAAAGTAAGACCAGTTTTTATTTATTTCAAAAAATATTTATTTATTCTTCCAAATCTATTTCGTCGCTTTCAAAGTAATCCCCTCCCGACACAATACACTTATGCCAACGTATTTTCCAGTCCTCGAAACAAGAATTAAAGTCGCCTTCCGGGATGGCTTTCAGAGCGCGTAGCGATTCACGTTGTATCTCTTCTATCGTCTCAAAACGATTTCCCCGCAGTAGTCTTTTGAGTTTCGGGAATAACCAGAAGTCACACGGTGCTAAATCAGGCGAATACGGTGGTTGTGGAACGATATGGATCGAATTTTTGGCGAAAAAGTCACGAAGAACGAGTGTAGTGTGAGAAGGTGAATTATCGTGATGCAAAAACCAAGAATTGTCTGCCCACAATTCTGGCCTCTTCTTGCGAATAGCTTCACGCAAACGATGCATAACACTCAAATAATACTCTTTGTTGACAGTTTGGCCGGGTGGAAGGAATTCTGAATGGACAACACCACGATAATCGATGAAAACTGTCAACATGACCTTGATTTTCGATCGACTTTGGCGCGATCTTTTCGGTTTGGCTTCACCTTTTGCACGATATTCACTGGATTGGTCAGTGGTTTCCGGGTCGTAAGCATAGATCCAAGTCTCATATCCAGTAATAATCCGTTTCATGACCGATTGATAGTCAGAAAGCATCTCTTCACAGATCTTAATGCGACGCTCTTTTTCGAAGAAATTGAGATGTTTTGGCACTAGTTGAGATTTTACACGTTTCAGGCCCAAAATATCTTTCAAAATGGTATTGGCAGATCCTTTCGAAATACCAACAGCATCAGCAAG